ACTTTATTCAGGTATCTAGACGATAGACAATGACAATCTTGAACACAATCTTATTGGCATTTACAATAACATACAGTAATAGCAGCGTAACACGCCCTCATAATAAACCTCGAGGAATGGCCTCTCCATAATAAACCCCACAATACAATTAACAGAACAACTTCAGAACATCAGCTGGTTCTGCTGAAGGACTCAGAGCTACAACATGAGAGATCTTCAGTGTACCGTTGCTACATGAGCTAGCTCAGACGGCAGGGCGCTCACTTAGCATGTGAGAGGTAGCAGGACCGATGTCCGCATTCTCCACCAGATATTAAAACCTCTGGATCAGGTGCAGTGAAAGTGGAAACACCAGAGCTGTGATTGGACTTGTAATGCAGGTTCACCACAATGAAGCCTTAAGCCACTCCTCACCATGCAGTCATCAGCACCTTAGTCATCCCCACAGGGCAGCGGAAAAGGCTTCTCCACCAGCAGATGTTCAGCTCAGATATGACCAGTGAAAGAAGAACCACAGAACATACGTGATCAGAGAAATACAACGTGAGGATGGTTTGAGAGAGGAGGGAGGAAGTCACCGATGTTTACAGGCATCTCTACAACACCTATCAGGTGCTGACGGTGCAGGCCTGACATCCCCGAGCAGGTGGGGGAGGATGAGGGGAGTCGGCCTGTTCCATGGCTTCTGTCATTCTGACTGAAGACGTCTCTGAGTTCTCTCCTTCTTCATGATGGTTCTTCATGTTGCAGTGAAACAGTGACTTCAGAGCGTTGATGTGTTAAATTATGCCGACCACAGCAGTGACCACGTCAGTAGAGCTGCTTCTGTGCTGCTTCGTGTTTCAGACAAGAAGGTGGCTGAAGTCCAGCGAGGCGTTCAGAAGCTGGAGCTCACCGGGAGGAGCACAGTGCAGCTGAGGGCGGGGTCAGAGATCAACCTGGCGTCCGCCGGAAGGCAAAACAAACGCACCTCTTTTAGACAGTCGCTGGCCGTCTGCTCTGAGCGCGCTCAGGTAAGACAAACCACACCCACAGGTCAACGCACGGCGCTTTCAAACGGGACTCATCACGGTCAAAAGTTTTTAACATGTAGTCCGGAGTGTGTCGGTAGCTGCTCACTGGTCTCACTGGTTTCACTGGTTTCACTGGTCTCTGCTGATCTCTACTGGTCTCTACTGGTCTCTGCTGGTCTCTGCTGGTCTCTGCTGGTCTCTGCTGGTCTCTGCTGGTCTCTTCTGGTCCAGGCGAGTTTTCTGAACCCTCTGCTGCGACGGACGGCCTCGGCTAAAAACTCTCTGAGACGAGCTCCTTCAGCGCTGTTCATCGAAAACGGAAAGGTTTTCCAGAGGAGGAAGGTGAGAGTCACACAAACACTGATGTTACCTGAGTTCACAGCGAGTCCAGCCCTCTGCAGAACCACCTGAACATCAGGTGGTTCTAAGTTCTACCACCTGACAGTAACTGCACAGCTCCTACGTTTCATAAGATGTACTACATTAAAACCAGAGGCCCCACAGGAGCAACTCAATCCAGCACAGCTCAGGACTGACTCATTTTTCAACACATTTGTGGTTCCACCTTTTTTAATGACAGACTCAGTCCTTCTCAGCATGGAGAACACCAGAGTCCAATAAGTTCTGCTCACATGTTCTCATGGAGGACACCAGAGTCCAATAAGGTCATGGAGCTTCTAGAACCTTCATCAACACCTTCTGCCCTCATGCAGCCCCACATCATGATGCTGCCACCTCCGTGCTTCACTGTCAGGACCATGCATCCACTGTGGTGGTCCTGGTCAGGTTCACACCAAACATCTGGACTCCATGTGAGCCCAACACATTGATCTCCATCTGACCAGAGGATGTTCTCCAGCATCCATCAGGCTTCTGTTCATGTTCTCTGGTGAACTTTGATGTGGAAGTTTAGCTGTGAGCAGCAGCCAGGTTTAGTTCTGCTCCTCCGTCCATAGAGGCTGATGTTCTGAAGTGTCCTTCACACTGTGTGAGCTTCACACTAACTCTGGTCTCCATTGATCAGCCCTGTGCCAAGTCTGAAGCAGCTGCCTTTGTCTGGTGTCCACAGCTCCATAGTGACAGTAGTTGACTGTCCGTGGAGTCATTGTAGGAGGACGACCACTGCAGCCCTGATCAGTGCTGCTGTGGCTCCTTCTGGACCTCCTGGTTCCTGCTCACACTGGACTGCACTGGGTTCTAGCTGCTCACTGATCTTCTGGATCCTTCTCCATCTTTGTCCAGTCTCTCAGTCAGATGTTTCTCCTCCTCTGTTCAGGTCTTCTCCATGTGGAGCCATGATGCAGACATAGATAGACACAGTCCAGAGGTCCAGAACTGAGAAGGTTCTGCTGCTCTCAGCTCGCTGTAGAACCATGTTCATGCAGGTGGACTGATGGGAACCACAGCTGGACTCAGTTTGGTTCTTTGAGGTTCTAGTTTGGGTCCGAATGTTTAACCTGGTCTCTATACAGGACTTGTTTTTTAATCGTGCTAAAGACAAAATGTTTTACTTCATAATAATAATAATAATAATAATAATAAAATGACTGAGAACTGTGTGGAGCTTTAATCTGCAGATGTTTCCTGACAAACAGCTAAAACAGCTGCTCATGGTCAGACAGTAACTCGTGCTTCTGTTTCCACAGGAGTGGGAGACCAAAGCTGCCGCCTGACACCAGCTGTCCAATCAATCAATCAATCAATCAATCAATCAATCAATCAATCAATCAATCAATCCCATCCCACCAGCTGCTGTGGACCTGCTCACCTGTCAGTCGAGCTGAGGCTGAACGACGCCTCAGAGATCCTTCAATGAGCTTCAATCATCATCTAAAACCCGACGGTTCTGTTCTGGATGTTTATGTTGTTTAAGTCCGACTGGTCTCTCTGGTCACCGTGGCAACAGCAGCAAACTGTTGCTAACTGTGGTGCTAACGCGGTGAGAGGTACGGACGTTTCCTCAGGTAACGGGGCAGAGAACGTTCCCACAACGTTCATCTAACATCATCACCTACGAGGTTTTCATCTAATATTCAAAGAACGTTTTCAGGATATTTATCATTTGCAGCAATGATCCTCTGAGTTCACGGACCACAACGCTCAGGCGACGTTTATCTAACGTCGGCGGAACAAAAGAGGAACGTTCCCGAAGCAGCATTCAAAAGACGTTTCCCAAATTGGATGATTTGTTAACGAAGGCGGAACGTTCTGCCTGCAGCGTTCTGAGGACGTTCTGTGGACGTTGTTGAAGAAACACAAGCTAGAAGGTTCTTCTACAGAACGTTCCAACAGCGTTCCAGGTGTTAGCCTCGGATGGTTTATTGAAGGTACAACATTTGGCCTGTTTGTTGGAGGAACACGTTTCTATAAAAAACAACAAAGGAAAGTTCTTAACGCAAAATTAAGAAAACGTTTTTAAGATGTTAAGAGTCTTCATCAGATGTTCTAGCTGTTCCCGTTCTCGCCAACTGATCAGTGATCAATTGATTCTAGTTTAGTCCGACACACATGAAGCAGGAGTTTGTTTTTTTTTTGTTCCTGGCGTTTAGTCGACTCGAGGAAAAACAAAAAGCTGTTTCCAGCTCAGACATCAAAACACAAACGGACCGCAAAGTGACTTTAGAACCGGCGCTGCTAGCAGCTAAACAACGGCCGTAGCTGAGATGAGTCACGAAACAGGTGCATTCTCTCCAACAGCCAGCAGGGGGCGACTACAACCAGCCTGATTGCATAGAAGTCAATGAGAAAACGAGCCTTCCTCTAACTTGACCTGTTGCCCCAAATGAACAGTTTACCGATAAGTTAATGGTTCTAATGACGTCTCCTTCAGCACAGCGTGGCGTTTGTTTGGTAAATTACCGTCAAACTCAGAGAGAAGCCGACGATACAGCAGCGTGTGTCTTCAGGTCGCTACCGGAGGACTAGCATCCTGAAAGTCAACCCACCACCTGCTCAAATACAGAAAAACGTATGAACCTAAACCCCTTTTAATGAAGGAGAGTGTGTTATTTAGCATCTACAGCGGATGTCTTTGATTAATGTTCTCGTTAACAATGACTGCTTCTGACCAGAGGAGGCGCCAAAACCCAGAGAACCGTGTGTGTGGTTTCACTTTAGAGGATTATTTTCACATATTTCACGTTAGTTTTTGTTAATTTATTCCACTGTCAGCTTTGAAATTATCTTTTTTTTTAGAGAAAAAAAACCAACATATTTTCAGTTTGTTTTTTAGCAAAAGTCTCTGAACGAGGGAATAAATGTTGTAAATATTAGCTAGTTGTCCACAGAGTGCTGTGACTGTCGGGAGCACATGTGTTTTGTTCGTTGAAGCCCACGGTGGCTCTGTTGTGTAGCAGTGTGTATAACTGAAGTATTTACTGAGCAGCACCACGTAGGAACGGACCTACGATCCACGTCTACTCACTGCAGCAGCTTCATATTTACTGGATTTTGTACTCAGGACAACGTTTGTTTGTGACTAAACACTGATCTGTACAATTATATTAAAGACAGATTTTTACACATCTTTGTTTCTGTTCTTAATTACACTTTGGGTTGTGGGTTAATTGTGTTTGATGACCTCTCCGTGTGTCGCTCTGTATAAAACCAGCAGCTGAACATAACATGAAACCCCATCAGCCAGCTTGTGTGTGACTTGTGTCTGGAGGAGCACAGAGTGGAGCCGAGTCTCCTGACGCTGATAGAAATGCTCTTTATTGGAACTCCGGTTAATCATCCACGTCACCATTCATCGGTTACAGCAGCAACATGTGAACACGACAACAGCAACTAGAGTATTAGCATCATTCAGTGTTCAGCAAAACGGCAGCAGGGCGGCTTCAGACCGCCG